GTATTTTTAACTTTATATAAATAAATAACTAACATAAATAATTAAATAAACAAATACCTAAGCACGAGCAAAGCCATAGAGTGCAAAAGTCACTACAAGGAAAATGACATTTGGCATCTATCGAAAATAGACGCCAATAGTCATATTTAGATGCTGATTGTTTATCGCGTCTAAAATTCCTTAGTCGCCAACTAGTTGTAAAATTGCTGTCCCAGAAAGTGTCGGCGACTAAAAACATGGTTAGATGCCAAAACTTTGTCTTTAGCGACCAGTAATTTAGTTATTAATTGCTTCGAAAAATAGTCCCCTAAATTAGACGCCAAATGAATAAGGGTAATTTGGTAAAATTGCACTACGACTATTGATTTAGTTACAAAATGTAGCTTTTTGTGACTAAAAAATGGATGGTAATTCCCAAAAAAATAGACGCTGAATACTTAAGAGTAATTTGGTAAAAGTGTTTAGGCAACTACTTTGCAAAATGCCTCTTACAGTAACTAAAACTTTAGTGTTAATTGCCGAAAATTTGAGTCAGTAAATGTTGAACCGAAATATGGTAATTTCCTTTTCGTAACCATTAAATTAGTTGTAGAAAGTGTTTTAATAACTAAATTATCAGTGCAAAAGCAGCTCAATTTTAGTTGCTAAAAGTTTTTGGCCAATTTGCTTTCTTTGATTTCGCAACTAATCATTTGGTTAGGAAAATGGACTTTTCTACATCTAAGTGGTATAGTTGCCCTGTAATACTTTCTCTCTCTAGCTAGTATACTCATAATATAAGAGTAAAACTCACTAAAAATATATAAATATATATATATATATATAAGAAAATGTACATGTAGATGAGTATAAAATAATGGGCCTATATCTAATTTTTCTTTATATATAAATCTTTACATAATGTAATANTTGGGATTTACTTACCTTGTTATGGAGAGATCTCACTAGCTCTTCCTTTCTCTTGGTTTGCTTGCTTTTTCTCTACTCTTTAAACAAATGAACCAAAAGCCCTCAATATTCAAATATACATAAAATCTCACAAAGCTTCACATCCAAAGCAAGAATCCTTACCTTAGGATGCCTTAGATTGATTTTCTACCCCAAAACAACTCCAAAAGCCCTCTAAAAATCCTTGAACAAATGAAAGAGAAATTGAGAGGAAGTAAGAAAGGAGAGTGGCGATGGAGAAGAAGAATGAAGGGTTTGCAATGACTTAATTCCTTTTAATGCAATTTATGCACAAGCATTCCCATTTTGCCCTTACTCTTCCTTAGGAATTCCATCTATATCCTTTGATTCATTACAAACTCACCCCCATATTAACAAAGGCTCCAAGAAATTTCCTTACATTTTACTCCCCACTTTTCCTGCTAATTAGGGGTAGAATGGTCAAAATGCCCTTAGGGAAGAAAAAATCTAAAACTTAACAAACATTTTGGTCGGCCTGTTGCCGCGGCGAAGAAGCTTCTGTCGCCGCGGCGAAACTATCCAGCAACTTCCCCGTGGGCTTCAACACCTATTCGCCGCGACGAAGATTCTTCCTCTCCCCGGCGAAGCCTGGAAACTAAAATTCTTCTATTTTCAACCAATTTCAGAGCAAGTGTTCAACATATCACTCAATCAAAGGTCAACCAAACAATAATACTAATAAACCAACTCAAATAAGAGCAAAGGAAGAGACATTAGCGACGTGCCTCAAGTGGGGGGTTACACAGCCAGACTCTAAAGCCAATATATGGGCTGCATTATGACCCTTGCCAACCCCAGTGCCAAATATTTCTAATTCCCCAATGCCCTATCTCAAACACGCCTTATGGGGCCAAAGCTGGCATGGTTTTCTTCACATCTTCCATACACCACCACTAACAAAACAAAATAAAGTAGACACTAAAAAATAAAAACATAACATCACTCACAAACATTCAGCATTATCTCTGAATGGTGCCACATGAACAACAAACCTAACAACAAAAGATGACATGGACACACCGAACCCAGCTTTATAAGCGTTATTCATCTCAACAACCATCCAACAACTACACTAGAAAAGTATGGTAAGGAAACTATGAACAAATGATCTGATCACTTCACACATTTTAGCACATCCATTTAACAAAACATAGGATAAGTTTTTGCTACACATAGTTCATGATCGATGAAACGATATCAAAGAGTCCTACATCAAAGTCTGAAGAAAAAACCAAGCCACCAAGTCATTTAAACAACAAACCAATAAATTCCTGACACAAATTCATTGTCCTCTCCCATCTACCCCATCAATTAACATAACTATAGCTCGTCAAAATAAATATCTAAAGCTCATATATGCATTTATAACTTTATATAAATAAATAACTAACACGAATAATTAAATAAATAAATACATAAGAACGAACAAAGCCACGAAGCACAAAAGTCACTGCAAGGAAAGTGAAATTTGGCGTCTATCGAAAATAGACGCTAATAGTCACATTTAGATGTTGATTGTTTATCATGTCTAAAATTCATTAGTCGCCAGCTAGTTGTAAAATCGCTGTCCCAGAAAGTATCTGTGACTAAAAACATGGTTAGACGCCAAAACTTTGTCTTTAGCGACCAGCAATTTAATTACTAGTTGCTTTGAAAAATAGTCCCCTAAATTAGACGTCGAATGAATAAGGGTAATTTGGTAAAATTGCACCGCGACTATTGATTTAGTCGTAGAATATAGCTTTTGGTGACTAAAAAATGGATGGTAATTCCCAAAAAAAATAGACGCCGAATGCTTAAGGTCAATTTGGTAAAAGCTTTTAGGCAACTACTTTTTTAGTTGCAAAATGCCACTTATAGTGACTAAAACTTTAGTGGTAATTGCCAAAAAATTTAGTTGGTGGATGTTGAACCGAAATATGGTAATTTCCTTTTCACAACCATTAAATTAGTTGCAGACAGTGTGTTTTAATGACTAAATTATCGGTAGTGAAAGCAACTCAATTTTAGTTGCTAAAAGTGTTTGGCCAATTTGCTTTCTTTGATTTCGCAACTAATCATTTGGTTAGAAAAATGGATTTTTCTACATGTAAGTGGTATAGTTGCCCATAGTATATGAGATTTGGAAACTAATTTTTTTAGTCAGTAATAATTGATTAGTCCAGGATTGTTTATTATTTCTATGACAAAAACTTTAGTGGCTTGTAATTCACCTGGTGAACACATTGAACATCAACAAGATAAGAGAGACACAATAAAAAAATGTGGATCAATAACATCAATTGTCTTCATTGCATATAAAGTCAATAGTCCATACATGGATTTGTTTTGTAACATGAGCAATAAAAATCCAAAAATGCACTATCATGTTTGCATAACCAAAATTAAAAGCATGCACCCATCATTTTCATCAATATATATCTATCTGTGCATAACTCCAACTTACAAAATGCCCACCCCATGTACACCATCTAAATATATGCACAAGCAATCCCAAAAAGTCCAAAAAAAAAAAAAATTAAATTAAAAAACCTAACCTACCCCCATGTCAGAATATATACTGCTATTGAGTGCTGGAAATGCAGATTTATTTAGTTATTTGGGGGTGAAACTGTAAGGAATTTAAGGTTTAATGCATGATTTATGATGTGATTTCTTGGATGTTTTGTTATCTTCTAGAATCACAAGTGTTGTGTGTGTTTTCAAGTATTCAGGTGCAAAAGAATGGATTATTCATGCTTGTGCTGGTGTTAGAACGTCCTAGACCCATTCCAGTGCAGATAAATCAAGGCGAGAAGAAAAGAGTGAAATTCCAACTTTGCGCTTCAACACAATTTTCTGAGCCGCAGCACAATGTCAACGAATTGTAGCGTGACGCAATTAAACTGAGTTGCGAAGAGTAGAGTTTTTGTCGAAGAACAAATCGCCTGAAACACGTTGGGGCGCAATTCACCATATTATAGTATGGTACTAGATATGTTTTCAATAAAATATTTAATGAAGATTCAACTTTATGGTAATACATGTCGAATAATGCTATGTTTACAACTGAGTCATACAATCAGACAAAAAATTTACATGACTATTCTATTCTATGTTTTTTGTCTGATTGTATGACTCAATTGTAAACATTACGTTATTCATACATGTCAATCCATTCTTTCCTACTTCGGAAATAAATAATGTTAAGTTTACACTATTCTGTCACATAATGGCAGCCAATGTGGCATTTGCCATGTCATATGACATGTCATAAATCTCCCACATGACTCCCCCAAATTAATAAAAATTAAAAATTAAAAAACAACAACAACGTTATTTTTGTTGACCCTAAATCTAAATACTAACTAAAAGCTCTCCCCAAATTTCCTTTCAATTTTTAGAACGACATTCTCCGACCTCAGCCCCCAATATGTCGCCGACGCAGCTGCTCCAGGACGTTGCCCTACACTCATCACGGTCGCCCATCTCAACTGCACGACAACCCACAAAAACATCTTCATACATGGCTTTGAGATCCCCATTTCATTCATCTTCAATCTCTCAAAACCCATCTCTGAAATTTAATGTTCACAACCTCACAACTTCAAGCTCCAAAAATGAAGTTTTGTATTCTTTCAAAAAACCCCTTGAACGATCCTCCCTTACTAAATTCCTCAAAGAAAGTTGTCGATCAAGTAACTTTAATCAAAATGAAGCATTGTACTTTTTTTATTACATGATTAAGTTGCAACCCATTTCTTGAATCTCATCATTCACTACTTTGTTTAGTGCATTAGCTAAGAAGAAGCATTACTATGAAGTGATTTCACTTTATAAGCTGTTGAATTCAATTGGGTTGTCTCCAGATTTAATGTCTTTGAACATTTTGATAAATTGCATGGGTAATATTAAAGGGGCTTCAGATAGTTTTGCGGCTTTTTGGGCAATTTTGAAGAAGGGTTTCACCCCAAATGCCATGATTTTCAATTGTTTGATTAAAGGTCTGTGCATAGAGAGAGATTATGGAGTTGATGGAATTGTTTAAGAAAATGGTTGCTGTTGGTTGTAGGCCTAATGTGATTACTTGTGGGTCTTTGATTGACGGATTGTGTAAAACGGGGAAGATAAGTGTTGCTATTAAGTTGCATGAAGAGATGGTTAATGGGAATGTAGGATTTGGTGTTATTTGTAGGCCAAATGTTGTTATTTATAATAGTATAATTAATGGCCTTTGTAAGGCTAGATTAATTGAGAAGGCTAGAGAATTGTATTTGGAAATGAAGAGTTTGGGAATTAGTCCAGATGTAATCACTTATAGCACTCTAGTTCATTGTTTGTGTTCTGTGGGTGACTGGGAGAAGGGTAAGAGTTTATTTATTGAGATGATTCAAAGAGGTGTGGATCCCAACGTTTATACCTATAGCATTTTAATAAATGGTTATTGCTTGGCAGACAGAATTGGTGATGCAAGGGCGTTGTTCAATTCTATAACTAGGAAGGGGTATAGACCTGATGTTGTTTGCTACACTACTTTAATCAATTGGTATGGCAAGAATAAAGAAGTCAAAAGAGCTCTTTATCTTTATCAAGAGATGATTTTAGAAGGAATTAGGCCTGATGTGATTACATATAACGCCTTGTTAATTGGCCTTTTTCTTAAAGGTAATGTAAAAGATGCACGAAATTTAGTTGGTGAGATGCGACTTAACGGTGTTTTTCCTAATTCTTGGACATATAGCATTTTCATTGATGGACTTTGCAAGAATGGATGTGTTTTGGAAGCGATGGAATTGTTTAATACTCTAGTAAATTATAAGTTTGTAGTTGCCTTGAAGGTTTGAGTTCCCTCATTGATGGATTATGTAAAACAGGGAGATTCAAAACTGTTTGGGACCTATTTCTGAAATTTCTCTTCATGAAAACCTAGTGCCAGATGTTGTAACATATAGCATTTTGATCAATGGGTTGTGTAAAATTGGACAACTAGAAAAAGCAAATGAGTTGTTGTCACATATGGAGGAAAAAGTTTGTGCTCTAGATGTAGTCACATTTACTACGCTCATGTTCGATTTCCTCAAGAATAATGAGATACCAAAAGTTGTTGAACTCCTTCATAAGATGGTAGAGAGAAATGTGAAGCCGACTGAATGTACAATGTCCTTAGTCACACAGTTACTAATGAAGGCCAAAAATTATCGTGAATGTTTGAACCACTTCCTTAATTTATGGTCCAAAAGTGAAATTGAAGTTTACGTGATAAAATGATAGGAACCCACTCCGATAACTCAACAATTTGGCTGGGTAGTAGGCCTTTTGTGGGCTTAGATAGAATTCTCCTTGGAAACTGGCTTGCCAAGGGAGGGTGCCCAAGCCCTTTATAACCCACGTGCCCACTCTTTTCCCCTTCCATTGTGGGATCCTAACATAAAACTTTAGTGAGTATTAAACTTCTTTCAAAGCAGAATCCTGCAAAAGTTCATCTAGCTGCCCAAGTGCTCTATTTCTATTACGATAAGAAGAAGGTTCAGTAAGCACTTTCATCTGTTCGAATTTGATAGGGACGGTAATGGGGATGATTGAGAATGATGGCTTCCCCGATCAGACATACGATACGTGATCTGTCTCTGTTGTAAGTGCATAAAATGGAGGTGGTAGCATTGCAGGCTGCACTGGCATTTGCACATGAAGTTGGTCTTTAAGGGTTCACGGATTAAAAGATTATTTCTGGTGCAAATTTCGGTAAGCAAAAGCTGTATATTAGAAATTGTGGAATGGTTCTTACTTCAACTACGACAAAAATGGTAGCCGCTCAAGTTCATCTATTCAACCTAATCAGTTTACTGGATGATGGTATGCTGCAACCAATTAACTTCATTCATTGATAGTCTCAAACATCCAAGCCTGATAAATCTTAATTTATTTATAGTGTTTCACATTTTTTTTTCTCAATATATATTCTTTTTAGTTCAAATCTGATAAGACTAGAACTTACCAGGGGTGTCTCTAATGATAGTTTATGAAGACAAAGCAAGAGGAACATTAGAGAAGGTTTTTAACTGTAATTTCTTAAAGAATATAGATGCACAGCAGGGGCCGGTCAATGGGATCTACCTGTTGGAACAATTGACATGACAACATTACAGTCAAGAGAAATATGGTCTGGTGTTACATATGCAGTTGTTGTAACGATGATCTATGGAGATTTGGTCGATATGAGATTTCAAATTGCGATTGAAATCTATGACGCAACATGGTTTGAAAATGGACTCAAGTAAGATCCCCCTAAGCTTATCAAATAGTGTTATCTTATGGTTTAGTTATAGACTGTTAACTAAGCTGAGTCTGTGTTTTCTAGATCTGTATAGATTTCATTGCAACATCTATTTTGTCAATTCATTTAATTTGTTTTTGGTGGTGTTGAAGGTTGATGTTGTGCTGGAAATGCAGTGTGCTGGAACTGAAGCTTGAAGATGTTTTTGACGTAAACATAATTGTGTGCATGATGCTGTTCAGAAGGCAGTAGCTTAGGACAAATTTGTTCATTTTTTATGATGCTGGTTGTGCAAAGAAAAGAGAGATGAACTGAAAAACTGGATCACTTTTCATTATACAAATGGCTGCATATAACAATACTTCCCTTCTTTCCCACAACTATCAGAGACTTTTACTTAATCTCAGCTAAACCACTCAAAAACTAACAACTTCATTACAAAAAAGCTGAGCCAATAAATACAAGGATTAACATTAAAAATTATAGTAGAACTTAAACTACTGAACCGTGAAGCAACCCCATGCACGTCCATGCACAGCAAAACATTTTTAGCCTTTCATACATTTGGCAAGCCATACTTCCAGCACAACATCAACCTTCAACACTCCACCTTGGTGATTTGGCTGGAAACACCAAGTTTTAGCCTCAAGGCTTCAAACTTGGATTTGCATAATGCCTTTGTCATGATGTCTGCAACTTGGTCTTCCCCTCTGCAGTGAACTAAGTTCACTTCTCCACACTGTTCAGCTTCCCTAACAGCATGATACTTAATCTTAATATGCTTTGTTCTGCCGTGAAGTACAGGATTCTTTGCCATAGCTACAGCCGACTGGTTATCACATAGAATCAAAGTAGGATCCCCTTGCATTTGATGCAAGTCATTCAGCATCTTCCTAAGCCACACAGCCTGGTTCACAGCTGCTGCGGCAGATACATATTCAGCTTCAGCAGTAGACTGTGCCACAGTTTCCTGCTTCCTTGACAGCCAACTGATTGCACCCTCATTCAGATAGAACACATAACCAGAGGTGCTTCTTGCATCATCCAGGGATCCACCCCAATCACTGTCAGTGTACCCCAACAACTTCAGACTTTCAGATTTCTTAAACCAGATGCCTAATATGCTGGTTCCTTTCACATACCTCAGCACACGTTTGGCAGCTTTAAAATGCAATTCACTTGGGTTACTCATAAACCTTGAGAGGTAACTTGCAGTGAACATAAGATCAGGTCTGGTGGCTGTGTAATACAGCAAACTTCCCACTAAGCTTCTGTATATCCCTTCATCTACCCTCTCTGCACCATCTGTTTTGCTTAATTTCAAGTTGGGAACCAGTGGAGTATTCACTGGTTTGCAATTCTCCATTCCAAACCTCAAGAGAAGCTCGGTTGCCTACCCTTGTTGACATACAAAAATCTCACCAGTAGCCTGATATATCTCCATGCCAAGGAAGTACTTCATTAATCCCAAATCTGTCATTTCAAATTCAGCTTGCATGTCTAACTTAAATTGGTTCAATTCATCAGGATTACTCCTTGTCACCAACAGGTCATCAACATAGAGAGAAACCACAACCACTCCTTTCTTAGTTTTCCTAATGTAGAAAGTGTGTTCATTAGGACTTCTAGTGTATCCAAGGCTGCATAAATGGTCATTTATTCGGCTGTACCAAGCTTTACGGGCTTGCTTCAAGCCATACAAGGCCTTCCTCAGTAGGTACACATAGTCCTCTTTTCCTTCAACCTTGTAGCCTTTGGGTTGCTCTACATACAGCTCCTCTGAAATCCATCCATTCAGGAATGCTGACTTGACATCCAACTGAAAAAATTTTCCAGTTGAACTGAGCTGCAAGAGCCAACAACAGCCTGATTGTGTCTTGCCTAGCAACCAGGGTAAAAGTTTCTAAAAATCAATGCCTGGTTGCTGTGCAAAACCCTTCACCACCAGCCTTGCTTTGTGCTTGTAGATTGAGTCATCAGGGTTGATTTTCAGTTTGAAAATCCATTTCACCTGAATGACTTTTCTCTTTTCAGGTCTTGGTACCAATTTCCAGGTTTGATTTTTATTGATCATGCTCAGTTCTTCTTGCATTGCAGCCCTCCATAATTCGGATTTTGTAGCATCAAAATAGCATCTTGGTTCCACCACTGCCATATTGCACCTTCCATACACATCAGCCAAAGTTCTAGTTCCTCTAACAGCATGATCATCTTCCTCATTTGAATCTGCCTCTTGAATCAGTCTCTCATTTCTCTCATTCTGACTTGATTCAGCTTGCACATCAACCCTTTTTTCTTCCCAATTCCATACTCCACATTCATCAACCTTTATGTCCCTTGTGATTACAATCCTATTGGACTTAGGAACATAAACTCTATAAGCTTTAGAGTTGCTACTGTAGCCTATAAATATCCCAATTTCTGCCTTGTCATCCAATTTGGACCTTTTGCTGGCTGGGATCATCACATAGGCTATGCTTCCAAATTCTTTCAGGTTCCCTACTGTTGGCTTAACTCTAGTCCATGCCTCAATTGGTGTTTGATGTTTGACTGCCCTGGTGGGCAGCCTATTCAGTAAGAAAACTGCTGTATTAACAGCTTCTACCCAGAACACTTTAGGGAGATTCTTTCCAGCCATCATACACCTGACCATTTCCATAATGGTTTGGTTTCTTCTTTCACAAACACCATTCTGTTGAGGGGTGTATGGTGCTGTGAACTGCTGCTGAATTCCAGCTAGGCTGCAGATTGTTTTGAACTCATTTGAAGTGCACTTTGTTTCATTGTCACTTCTTACTGTTTTGATCAAGGTTCCAGCTTCATTTTCCACCAACAACTTAAATTGTTTGAACACAGTAGCTACTTCATTTTTCTGCTTCAAGAAATAAAACCAAGCCACCCTTGAGAAGTCATCAATGAAGAGTACAAAGTACCTGTTGCCATTTAAAGATTCAGTCTTCATTGGACCACACACATCTGAGTGGATCAATTGTAGCTTGTGACTTGCTCTCCAGGTTTGATCCTAAAGGAATGATGGCCTGCTGAGTTTGCCAAGCTAGCAGGCTGTGCACAAGGTCCTCTTCTCTACTATCTCAGGCAGGTCTAATACCATATCCCTTGACTTGAGCTCTTTAATTCCAAGGTAATGAAAAATTCCTAGTCTTCTATGCCATAACTCAGACTCTTCAACCTTGTTGATTAATGCTGAGTTTTCTGGTTTCTTCCAGTCCAGAGGAAAACTTTTACCCAGCATCCTTACACTCAACAACTCATTTCCCTCACTATCCTTTATAATGCATGAATGGTTTTAGAAATGCAAGGTATAATTTCTCTCTAACATTTGACCTACACTTAAGAAATTTTGTGCAATTTCAGGTACAAATAGAACATTAGAAATAACCTTAGTTCCTGCCTAAGTTTGGACTGCCACATCTCCAATCCCTTTTACTTCCACATAGTCACCATTGCTGCCATTTCCAGCCAAGTATCACCTTCAACACCAACAATTTGTCGTCTGCTACAAAATTTTGCTGATTGCTCAGTTGAAGTAATTATTGTCTTTTGAGGTGATCTTCTATGATATTCTTATTCCTGCGATATTTTTTTTTAATGATATCTTTGTGCAAAACATTATTTCTTTCTGTTTTCTCATTGTAAAAAGAATGATGTTTTTTGGATTTGTACGTTCCGGCCCAGCAAGAACTTGCTTGTTTGCATATACAAGAAAACTTGGTGAATACAGCAGGGACATGCATATTGGTCTCTAGGAACGATACGCTACTCAACTATACACCAAAATAGTATTCTACTCTGTCGTCCTGGAACTTCAGTTTTCACAGTAAACCACTTGCTTAGGTGATTTATTATTATTTAATTATTTTTCCCTTTCTATTCATACTAAATTTTTGTACATGTTATTTCAGGCGATATATTTGCCAGATCCAAATGCTAGTAGTGAGGGCATCTTAGACTTAATGTTCATTTTTTATGATGGTTTGTGCAAAGAAAAAGAGAATGAACGAAAAACTGGATCACTTTCATTAGACAAAATGTCTGCATAAACATACTTCCACTTACTGTTTTCAACAACTATCAGAACTTTTCTTAATCTCAGCTAAACCACTCAAAAACTAACAACTTCATTACAAAAAAGCTGAGAATAAATACAGGATTAACATTAAAAATATAGTAGAACTTAAACTATGAACCTGAAGCAACCCCATGACGTCCATGCAAGCAAAACATTTTAGTCTTCATACATTCGGCAACCAACTTCCAGCACAGCATCAACCTTCAAACATCCACCTGGTGCTTTGGCTGGAAACACCAAGTTTGCCTCAAGGCTTAAACTTGGATTTGGTAATGCCTTTGTCATGATGTCTGCAACTTGGTCTTCCCCTCTGCAGTGAACTAAGTTCACTCTCCACACTGTTCAGCTTCGCTAAAGCATGATAATTAATCTTAAATGCTTTGTTCTGCCGTGAAGTAAGATTCTTGCCATGCTACAGCCGACTGGTTATCACATAGAATCAAAGTAGGATCCCTTGCATTTGCTGCAAGTCATTCAGCATCTTCCTAAGCCACACAGCCTGGTTCACAGCTGCTGCGGGCAGATACATTTCAGCTTCAGAAGTAGAACTGTGCCACAGTTCTGAGATTGGTTTGATTCCAGTCCAAGCTTCAAAGGTGTTTGGTTTTTTAAGGCTTTGGTGGGAATCCTATTAAGTAGGTAGACACTTGTGTTTGCTGTTTCTGCCCAAAATGGTTTGGGAAGATTTTTCTCAGCCATTAAGCATCTTGCCATTTCCATGACTGTCCTGTTTTTCCTCTCACAAACTCCATTCTGTTGTGGAGTGTATGGACTGCTGTATTCATGTCTTATTCCAACTTCAGTGTAGATTTTTTCAAACTCTTGAGAAGTGTATTCAGTGCCATTATCACTTCTCAAGGCTTTGATTGTTTTTTCTGTCAAATTCTCTACTTCAAGTTTGAATTTCCTGAATTTTCCAGCCACCTCATTTTTCTGTTTTAGGAAGTAAATCCACCCCATCCTAGACCAATCATCTATGAACAATACAAAGTATTTGTTCCCATTAAGTGATAAGGTTTGCACAGGCCCACATATATCCGAGTGAACAAGTTGGAGTTTTTCAGAGGCTCTCCAAGCTTGGTTCACTGGGAATGGTTTCCTACTCATTTTGCCTAGTTGACACACTTTGCACACACCTCTCGGCTGCTCAATAATAGGTAGATTCTGGACTAAATTTTTGGACTGCATTTCAGTCAAATTTCTACAGTGTACATGGCCTAATCTTTTGTGCCACATTTCAGTTTCATCCTCTCTAACATTGCATGCTGTGTGTGGTGTAGCTTTCCACATTATTGGAAAGCTTTTCCCAACCATTTTCACTCTCAAAACCTCATTACCCTCACTGTCTTGAATAATGCAGGATTGTTTTTGAAAATGCAGTGCATAATTCCTTTCCAACATTTGCCCCACACTCAAAAGACTTTGACTTATATTGGGTGCATAAAGTACATTTGAGATTAGTTTTGTACCTTTTGGAGTTTGGATTGCAACATCTCCTTTGCCTCTTGCTTCCACACATTCTCTATTCCCAACTTTAATCTTTGACCAATAAGAGTAATCTATGTTCACAAAGCTACTCAGATCAGGTGTCATGTGATGTGTGCACCCACTGTCAATTAGCCATGTATCATCACAAGTTTGGATCAAGTTGGATAAGGCCATAAATAGCTGCTCTGTCTCTTGCACTGGCTGTTGTTCATCAGCAGTTTGAGCGTGCTGTTGAGAATGCTCCCCTTTGTTTCTGCATACTCTTTCAATATGCTCAAACTGTTTGCAGGCCCTACACTGTATACCAGGTTTGAACTAGCATTTGTGCTCTGCATGTCCCTTTCTTTTGCAATGAGAACAAGCTGGAAAATTTCGCATCCCACCAGCTTTGTTCCATTGGTTGTTGGACCTTTCTTTTCCTCTTTTTTCTCCAGCAGACTTCCTATAATTCCCTTGCACAGGTCTTTATAGGTTGCCAGCATTGCCCCTTCATTCGCATCTTCAAGCCTTAGGAGCCTTCTTTGCTCTTGTGCCTGCAGAGCATGGACCAGCTCAGTCAATGTGATCTAAGTCAGGTCCTTTGAGTCCTCCAAGGATGAAATCTTGGCTTCAAACCTTTCCCGCAAACTCACCATTACCTTCTCCACTATTCTGCTGTCTAACATCTCCACTCCAAGTAATCTGATTTTGTTGACAATGCTCATCAACTTGTCAACATATTCTTTCACTTTCTCAACCTCCTGTATTCTTAAAGATTCAAACTCCCTTCTTAAATTCAGAACCTGCATGTTTCTTATAGTGCTACTTCCCATGAACTCTTCTCTCAACTTGTCCCATGATTCCTTGGCTGTTTCGCATGCCATAATCCTTGTAAAAACAAGGTCTGTGACAGCTGAGTGGATATGGGACAGGGCTCTTGGAGCCTTTGATGCTTCCTCTTCATGCATTCGAATTTGGTTGAGAGTGGGATTTGGTCCCAGCTGAGGGGGTTGTCTCTCTTCCTCTACATACTGCCAGAGTCCTTGACCCCTCAGGTAAGCCTTCATTTTGACTGACCAAATATGGTAGTGTTCACCATTGAACACAGGAGGTAGAAGGGAAGCTGTTTGAGTAGTCATTTGTTTGAAAGAAAATAGGTCTGATGCAAGGCAGTTTCCAGGAGAGCTGGATGTGTTGTTTGGAGAAGAAAATGTTCAGTTTTTTGTTGGAATCAACGAAGCTCTAATACCATGTTAGTGTTTATGTGCTGGAGATAACTAAGAAAAGAATGAGAGCTTGATACGATTGAAGAAAAGTGTCTGAATTTTCTTAAGTTCAAAATGAGTTTACACTTCAACTAATAAAGCTAATATTGCACTATTACACCAAACATGCAGACATATAATAACTTGATTTTAATCTGAAACTACTGACTTAATACCAACTAAACAACAACTATATAACACATCCCATATAACCCGGGACACATATCAAGCAATACAAAATAAGTATAACTTTGCAGTATTAAAAATGGACCCCTGGCAGATTGCCTTTCAGTTTTACCGCCAAAAACATATTTGAAACATCAGTTGAACTGCTGCATTTCCAGCCAAGTATCAACCTTCAACACCAACAATTTGTCGTCTGCTACAAATTTTGCTGATGCTCAGTTGAAGGTAATACTTGTCTTTGTAGGTGATCTTCTATGATATTCCTTATTCCTGCTATATTTTTTTTTAATGATATTCTTTGTGCAACCATTATTTCTTTTCTTTTTTCTCCTATTGTAACAAAATGATGTTTTTTGGATGTACTGTATCTGCAGCAAGAACTTGCTGCAATATCCAAGAAAATTGGTGATAAGCAGACATGCACTATTGGTCTCTATGAACTATATCGCATTACTCAACTATACCCCAAAATAAGTATTCTACTCTGTCGTCCCTGGATACTTCAAGTTTTCTACAGTAACCACTTGGCTTAGGTTGATTTATTATTATTTTAATTATTTTTTCCCTTCTATTCATACTAAAATTTTGTAATGTTTATTTCAGGCTGATATATTTGCTCAGCTCCAAAATGCTAGTGAGGCATTTCGCACTTACTGTTCATTTTTGATAATGCTGGTTGTGCAAAGAAAAAAGAAAATGAACTGGAAAAACTGGGCTACTTTTCATTAGACATAAGTCTGCATATAACATACTTTCACTTACTGTTTCAACAACTATCAGACACTTTTACTTAATCTCAGCTAAACCACTCAAAAACTAACAACTTCATTACAAAAAAGCTGAGCCAATAAATACAAGGATTAACATTAAAAATTACAGTAGAACTTAAACTATTGAACCGTGAAGCAACCACATGCACGTCCATGCACAGCAAAAACATTTTCAGCCTTTCATACATTCGGCAAACCATACTTCCAGCACAGCATCAACCTTCAACACTTACATCAGGGACGGTTTAGCACAGGTTAGTATTACCATCCTTCGTAGTAAACTGTGTCAAGTATTTGGGTTGTTAAAGAAGTGTAGATGGAGAAGAATGCAGCTGCGGGGAGGACACCTTCATGTTTACCGATTTCAACTCCGCCTCCTGTACATACAAATTCATTAAATGATGCGAAATCACTGAATGTAAAACCTGATCCAACAAGCTTTAATTTACCACCTTCATATACTGAAGATAATAGAATCAGTAATGCCATTGCTTCAAGAGGTCTTGCCTCCGAGAATTCTTTGGGTGATCAACGAAATGAGAGATATGGAGGTAACGTACAATTCGCTTTTGCTTTTTCAATTTTTTCTCAGTTCATTTAGTTAAAACAAACTTAACAGTGACCACGGGGGCAATAGATGCCATTAGACAAAGGATGAAGAGCATGCAATTGGCCGCAGCTGGTGGGAACCCAGAAGCAGGAAGCAGGCCTTTAATAAACATGAACGATAATTTAAATCATGGAATCTCGAGTCAGAATCGTTCATCAGACCACCCTGGTGTAGAGAATGCTGTACAGGGTGCGGTTCTCCCCATGGATGAGAAGGCGTTATCTGGACTTCAAGCCCGCAAGGAGAGACTAAAAAGTGGAACAATGGAACACCTTTAGAAATTTTTTAGCAATACAAGGAGCTATCGCTCCAGTGTCTTTACGACCTCCGCCATAGGATGCCATTCTTGTAAATGGAAAGTGAGCGAGATTGATATGGAAGTGCAGCTGCCACCGAAATGTATATCTTGCTGCAAATGATTATGGATTATGTATTCTTTTTTAGCGTTGTGCCAAAGTTTTTGTGAAGTAGCACGCCCGACTGCATGCCCCCGAACTGTTAATCAAAGCCCTGTTAGTGTTATATTTTAGCTGGTGACTAAAATTTAATACAATGTATACATTTTACAGAGGGTATGGCTCCAGTTTTGCTTGGTTTCTTATGTGATTGTTGTTTCAAATATAGAGGGCACTTTGAATTAATTTGGAATGCTATGTTGATATATTATATCATTTGGGATGCATTGAAAATGAAGAAAAATATAGATATACTCTTTTAATATCTTACAAAGTTCAACTGAAAATACTTGGATGGATTCTCGGCTTCAAATGATTTGATTTCTAGTATTTTCCTGTTTTCTGAAACGTTGGATTATTGCCATTGCTATCAAATCCACAGTCCTCCAGTATTTCTTCCTCCAGTTTTCCTTCAACAAAGAAAGAACAGTGAAAAACCCACCGGAGCCAGCTCCATAGCCAACTACAGCCGCATAAAACATCTCCTGCCTAGAATCCTCAACATCAACAGTCGTTTCTGAACCTGAAGAATCATTGTCATGACATTTGATATTGATGGCAACTCCACACAAGAACTCATTTCCGGTATACGCTGATCCATCTATGTTCACTGTGTCAAAGTGTTGCCCTGTTGGAATTCTACCACTGAAATTGTTGTAGGATAAGTTAAAAGCAGAGAGATAGTCCAGAAATGTATTGCTGTAGGAATATTCCCACTCAGGTTGTTGAAACTCAGGTCCAGGGACTCCAAACCAGACATTTCGCTAATGGTGATTGGGATCTCACCGAAGAGCTGATTGTGTGACAGATTGAGCATATAGAGTCCCTTTAGAAGGCCTATTTCTGAAGGAATGTTCCCAGTAAGAGAGTTGGCAGAGAAATCTATGCCATTGAGATACGTCCGGACGACCTCATATTTTTGAAACAATCCATTACTCACCATGTCTAGCTCTACTCCTGTATACATGGATGAGATGACATAACCGAGGAGATTTCCATCCTGAGGTCGAGTTCTCATCATCTTCAAACCATCTAGTCTTTCAGGGATGGAACCTGAAAGCTTGTTGCTGGACAAGTCTACATATTGTAGCTTTTCCAGCTTGTTTATCTCTGGAGGAATTGAACCATTGAAGAAATTAGATTCCAGGACGAGAATTCGGAGGTTTTGGAGGTCTCCAATGGATGGAGGTATCTTTCCTTGGAATCTATTATACCCCAGCTTAAGAACACCCAAATCCTGAAGTTTCAGAATGAATCCTGGAAAAGGGCCTCCAAAATGACTTCCTGTAAGGTCAAGAAAACTCAGACTTTTTGCACCCTCCAAGCCATCAGGAAATTCTCCACCAAGGTTGTTCCCTCCAAGTTTCAGAAAAATGAGAGAAGTGCAATTTCCCAAACTGGTGGGAACTGTTCCTTCCAGACTGTTGTTAGAAAGATCAAGGAGCATCAACTTATTATTTGAATGACAGAAAGATGAGGGTATCTGACCATGAAGTTTGTTTCCAGAGAGTGATAAATATTTAACTTCCCCAATTCCAAGCTCTAATGGTATGTAGCCTGTGAAATTGTTCCCCGAAAAATCTACAGCTTCGACATTCTCAAGCAGGGGAGGAATGGATCCCCGAAGTTGATTGCTTGCTAAATTCAGTGTTGTTGGTAACTCAAATGAGTGTAACTCAATGTGGGGTGGGAGAACTCCTTGGAGTTGATTGGAAGACAGATCCAAGTAACCGAGTTTTGGTAGTTTTAATAGCCAAGAGGGAATTGATCCTGACAAGTTGTTGTGGGATAAAGTCAAGAATCTAACCTGGGTCAGATTCGATATGAAATCCGGGATAGTTCCCCCCAAAAGACATGCATTTAAGTCCAGGTACTGGGGTTGAAAGCTTGGTGGAAATGGATTTTGGTCTACTTTCACTGTCAACCCGCTGAATCCTAAAGCTATCATTTCTAGATTCGAGCTCTTGATCAACGATGCAAACGACTCGATCATTCCATTCATGTTGTTGGAACTGAGCATAAGATACTTCAGCCTGGAAAGCTGACTGATGCAGCCTGAGTTTCCTGTGAAATGGTTTCCTGCCAATGAAAGATACTGGAGGGAAGATATGTTACGGATTGAACTGGGAATGGATCCTTGCAAAGAATTCTGCATGATATTGAGTAACCTCAGGTTTTTCAATTTGGAAATATCCGACCAAAGATGGTCTGTTATGTTGTTGAAATCCAGTGCTAAAATTTCCAACTTTGAGAGGTTCATCAGAGGAGGAGGTATTGGCCCCTGGAGGAAACAATTGGAAGCTTTGAAGAGTCAAAGTAGTGGTGTTGGCAAAAGAAGTTGGAAATGATCCAATAACTTGAGTTGATGAGATATCAAGAGCTAATAATCGAGGCCAAGGAGCTGCAAACATGGAATGCAAATCAAAGATCATCTCAGAGTTGTTTCCTACATCAAGTTTTGTCAGTTGAGGAAGATAAGGGATTGGACCCTGTAGATGTGACTTGGTGAGATAGAGCCTGGAAAGAGAAGTGAGATTGGCTAATTGTCCAGGAATCGGGGATGCGAAAAAATTGAAGTCCATCATCAGTACAGAGAGATTGGTGAGGTTGAGAAGCTGCTTTGCAGGAAGTTTTCCGGAAATCCTGCAATTCGACAGCTGAAGACGCTGGAGATTGGACAGAAAAGATAAAGGATTAGCCCACTGGTTTGAGTTTGTAGCCTTAGAAAGATCCACACCACTCAAACTTAGTACTCTAAGATTATGAAACACCTGTAAGAAATCTAAAGATGGCAAAGAAAGGTGGCCTGCATATATGTAACCATATTCAGCACCAGTGTAAATCTGAAGTGAGGACGACAAGTTGTAACCAATAGTGGAGAAGTCAATTGCCACATGAGAACATGAAACATCAAGGTGTGTAAGCAAAGTAAGGTTGGAGAATTGGGTTGTAATGGAGCCACTGAACATTGCATTGGAAAGATTCAGTTAAGTGAGTTTAGTAAGATTGGAAAAACCTGAGGGGATGTTAGTGTACATTAAGTTGTTGAAGCTGAGGTCAAGNAGGTGGCCTGCATATATGTAACCATATTCAGCACCAGTGTAAATCTGAAGTGAGGACGACAAGTTGTAACCAATAGTGGAGAAGTCAATTGCCGCATGAGAACATGAAACATCAAGGTGTGTAAGCAAAGTAAGGTTGGAGAATTGGGTTGTAATGGAGCCACTGAACATTGCATTGGAAAGATTCAGGTAAGTGAGTTTAGTAAGATTGGAAAAACCTGAGGGGATGTTAGTGTACATTAAGTTGTTGAAGCTGAGGTCAAGATAGGTAAGATTGGTAAGAGAAAAGAGAGAAGATGAAATGGTACCATTAAGGGCAGTAGATTTGGAGCTGGAGCTGGAAACAAGCTCTTTGTTCATATTGATTATGAACATTTCCGAGAGTGGATTGGGGTTCCTGAGATTGATAGAAGAAACATGAAGTGATTCCGAGCAATTGATTCCATGCCAAGTGCAGCAGTTTTGGCCTTGCCATGAAGACAACAGATTTCCAGGGTCAGTAAGCTGTGATTTGAAGCTTAATAATGCTCCTCTTTCATGATCATCGCAACATATTAACATATTATGAAAGAAAAATTGAGGAGCAGAATTAGTACTTCCAAGGAAACAAGATTTTCAAGTTTCATAGTTGTGTTGTGGTCTAACTGAATAGAAATTGAATAGTTGACACTTTTAAAGATGGAAGTCTTCTTTATATTTTTATATTTTCTTTTTTATGATTCAAAAATCCGAGTTTAAAATTGAACCTTTATCAAGCCCTACGACTTTTGGAAAGTGAGAAATAATGGACTTTTGCGATGTAGGTAACTATGACTAAGTAGTTCAAATCCCATATTTTGTGAGAGTAAACCATAGCTCTGCTAAACCTTTAAGATAACACGTAATTTTTTTTCTGATTATATTATTTCAAGATTGAGATAGAAACATTTGACTAGGTTAAATTTGGGTTCATGTGAGGCATTATTATAAGTGTCTTTTGTGCTAAGTTTTCTAAATTCAAAGACAGTAACTGGTTTTGTTTTTAAAATGCAGAGTGATGGAAACAGAGGCATGCAAAGAGGTGACTTTTGAGTTAAAAAAAAAAATTTTGGAGCTTCTTCAGGTTATGTCATAGATTATATACCTAACCTATTCTTATCTCTTAGCTTTTACCATTTCAATTAGTGAGTGAAAATTACATACTTATGGACATGGTCAAATGAATAAATAAATATTTTAATATATAAGAAATTAATGTTTATTGAATTTCTTTTATTTTCTTCCACTTTCCATCCATCCAAACACCCTAAATCCACTAATTTCAGTTCAAGATACCTCATACCACTAAAGTCTTCGGTGGTAAAATTAATTTACTATAAATTTTAAAAAACATTATTTCGATGACTTGTAGCTTCATCTGTTTTAAGAACATTACAAATAATTATGCAAAATATATTTAACATTATGTTTTTTTTTTTTTTTTTTGTAATTAGACCATGTCAAATTCAGATTTTGCAAGCAACTGTTACTGTTATAACTTATAACTAATAAATATATCTTAAAATAACATTATTTTAGGGATATCCAAGTATATGCCAACCAGCGATGCAAGAATCGACATCAAAAACATTAAACAAGTCCATAAAAAAAAAAAAAAATCTAGTCAATAATCATGAAGTTTATAATATTTATAAACCAGCGAGATAGTAACATTCTATTTATTAAAATCCCTTACTGAGTAAAAAAAAAAAAAAAAAAAAAGTTATGTACTTAATTCGATAGTTTACGTCATTTTTATAACAAAAATAAGAGTAGTTTAAACACGTTATCTACCATAACTTAGCGAATAAGGTAAAGTTAGCATGATAACCAAATAATTTATAACTTATTTAACTATCCTTGGTAAATAACAATGGTACAACTCCATTGATGGTTTCTTAATGTTTGCCTTCTATGATTGTATAAAAAAGGATAAGTGCTCAATTGTGGGGAAAATTTACCCAACTTAGTATTCTATTAATATAATTGTAGTCATTGAATAGAACTCATTTTAAAAAAATGATTTACAGAGAATAATATCTAAATGTTATAAACACATAATTGGCCTCAAGAGATCTCAAGTCTGAGTCCCTCTTCGAGTGCTAATAAGGATAATTATTGAAACTTTTACTCAATCGGTAATTCTAAGATTACAAAAGATAAATTAAAGTGTGCGTAAACTGATTCGAATACTTTCAATCATTAAAAAAACCCGTGGTTGGCCTAATATGCCTACTCGATGAAAATTGATAAATGGAAGTTGTCGCCTAAACAACGACAATGAGGGCACTCTCAAAAACCAGCTTACAAGGCGACCAGGGGAGATGCCAAGTGTTTAGAAGCCCAATTACGAAGCTTTTGCATGGCAAAGTGGGACTCAATTGCGTTGTTCAAAGAACCTTGTTTCTTTTTAAGGGTTTGGACATATATAATTATCTCACTAATTCTAATAATTCCCAAAATATTAAGTTTTATTTAATTTTTTTTTAAAGGATATAAACGTAAAACCATATGACTTACTATTTATACCCTTAATAAAACATATAAAGAATTTGCTCTTTAACGTATAATCTTTCCTTTCTATCTACAGAGATTTTCTTTCTATTCCCACAAATCTGGAATCGTATATTAAAGCAAGCTAGATTATACTTGATAATAATAGATTAATAAGTCTAGTATTTTCGAAAGTTAATACATATCCTGACTATTTTTATCTCTGACACTTCTTATAAAGGGTTATTATCAACCAAAGGTTCAGATGACACTTTAATAAAAAACTTACAAGTATAGAATATAAATATTAGAAAAGACAATGAGTACAAAACCCATAAGAACTTGGATATAACAAGTTACGATATTCAGTGTGTTACGGGTTCATAACATTGGATATCATTATATTTTCTTAAGTTATACAAGAAGATTGATCCACATTCCTCATCCTCAACAGAAACCGTTGTCAATATCGAGACGAATGAGTACCCGTTGTTTTAATTGGGCACCAGGAAAGAGCAATAAGTAGCTTCCTTCTCAAGCAACCAATTTCATGCTGCAGGAATCACATGGCTAGTAACTCCCTCAGCATCACCTCAGTACTTTTCCATTATAGTTTCTGTCGTTTCTCTGTGATACTCACGGTGGAAAGTTAGAACCCCAATTGAAGATTACTGCGAATTTATTCTTTGAATTGTACAAATTTTTTCTGGGTCAAACCCATAAGAACTTGCATACTTACAGAAAACACACTGAATTTCGTACTAAGCGTAGGCACTTATCATGTAATTTTTTCAGAACATTTTCTATGCATTTCTGAACTATATTCATTTAATAGATCTAACAATGAGATTGTAATTTATGATTATTTTGATATGTGCTAATGTTCTAGTATTTTGATATATTCAGATGGCCAACATAAAACTAGTGCTGTAAGCATTTGAGATTGTTATTTTAACCCTGTTTTCTCAAGCATTGTATGATTCTGAATGCAATCTGATCAATGGCCTTCCAATAGTTCTTCCTCCCGTTTTTTTTTCATCAAATAAAGAATCCCAAAAAAGCCCCACAAGCCAACCCCATAGCCGATAATTACAACTGCGTAAAACATCCTCTCCGACCAGGGAGCCTCAACTTGAGCACTTTCTGAACTTGAGGAACTGTTGTTACCAGTACAATTGATTCCAGTAACACCTCCACAAAAGAACTTGTTTCCTATTTATGCTGCTCCATCTATATCCATTGTGTCAAAGTGTTGCCCTCTTGGAATTTACCCACTCAAATTGTTGTAGGACAAATTAAAAGTTGAAAGATAGTCTAGCAAAGTGATTGCTATAGGAATCTCCCCATTCAAGTTGTTGAAGCTAAGTGTTGGAGATCCTACATCGACTAGACACGCTCAAGCCAATGAGTTTATAAGAGTAGGCAATCCTCCCACTCAATAAGGCCTTTTGGGTGAGGAGTTAGACCCAAAAACCAACAAGTGGTATCAGAGCCAACCCCATTTAAGTTGAGTTATTGACCAGCGGTGGGTTGCTAAACTACCTTCATTCAGAGGCAAGTGGACCATATGGGCTTGACCGTGAGGGGGACTAAGCATGCTTAGGCTAATGGGTTTATAAGAGTGGGCAATCTTCCCACTCAATAGGGCCTTTTGTGTGAGGAGTAAGGCCCAAAAACTAACGCTAAAGTCTAGTGACTCCAAACCAAAAATATCATCAATGGTCGTTGGGATCTCACCAAAGAGTTGATTGTGTGAGAGGTTGAGGATGTAGAGTCCCTTCAAAAGGCCTATTTTTGTTGGAATGTTTCCTGTAAGAGAATTGCCTGAGAGATCTATGCCACTAAGATATGTGTAGACGATCTCAAGTTGTTGCAACAATCCCTTGCTTACCATGTCTAGCTCAATCCCAGTGTACATGGATGAGATGACATAACCAAGAAGATTTCCATCTCCAGTTCGAGTACTCAGCATCTTTAAACCATTTAGTCTTTTAGGGATGGGTCCGGATTGTTGCTCGACAAGTCTAGATATTGCAGCTTCTCCAGCTTGTTTATCTCCTGAGGAATTAAATTGAAAAAATTCGATTCTAGCACAAGAATTTGGAGCTTCTAGAGATCTTCAATAAATAGTGGTATCTTTCCTTGAAATCTATTGTATCCTAGCTTAAGAACCCCTAAACCCTGAAGCTCTAGAATGAAACCAGAAAAAGGGCCTTTAAAGTGATTATCTATAAGGTCAAGATAGCTTAAATTCATTGCATTCTCCGATTCATTTGGAACTTCTCCATTGAGTTTGTTCCCACCAAGATTCAGAAAG